TAAAGAAATTGTTAATGTAACAGAAATTTATAATTTCAAATAAATGCTGTTCTTTTGAGCTTTCTGTTAATGAAATTTTTTTTTATCAATATTTAAACAAAAATATTAAGCGACTGTTTTCAACAATGATAATAAGAAGAAATGTTTCTTGAGCACCAAATTAGCATATTAGAATGAAGGATCATGTGACACTGCAAACTAGAGTAATGGCTACTGAAAATTTAGCTGTCAATGTTAAGCAATAGACATTAATAGAAACAATAATGCCACTTAAATATTGATAATAAAGCGCAATGTTTAATTTATTTATAAAGCACTTTAAAAACAACCTTAGTTTACCAAAAAATTACATTGACCAAATTGCACAATAAAATAAACATATCATTAGAAAAACACAGTCACAAAACATTAAAAACATGGGGAAAAAAAGTTTTTAAGAGACATTTAAACTCAGACACTGAAGGAGCTGTTCTGATAGATAATGGTAAATTGTTCCATAGCTTGGGGACTGCAGTGGCTTTGTCACCCCTACATTTCAATCTAGATCTGGGAAACAAAAGCAGATGCTTAGTCTGTGATCTGAGTGATCTGGCTGGATTGTGTACAATAATAAACTCAGAGAGATATGGAGAAACAAGGTTGTTTAGAGCTTTGTACACAAACAGCAGAATTTTGAATTGAATAATAAATCGGTAGCCAGTGCAATGAGCGTAAGATAGGCGTGATGTGATTCCATCTGCGACTGCCTGTGAGCAAACGAGCAGCCGCATTTTGGACCAGTTGCAGTCGATGAATAGATGAGACAGGCAGCCCATAATATAACGAGTTACAATAGTCAAGTCGCGAAGAAATGAAAGAATTAATTATAATCTCAAAACTCTTCCTGCTTAGGAAGGGTTTAACTTTTGCTAGTCTTCGCGGATTGTAGAAGCTGGTACTCACAGTAGAATTAATTTGTTTATTCAGCTTTAGGTCGCTGTCGAGTATAAAGCCCAGATTCTTGGTCTCAGAAGAGCAATATGGGGAAAAAGAGCCCAGATCAACAGTGCTCAGATTGGTTTTCTAGTTTGGCCTGAACAGAACAATTTGTTTTTTATCATCATTCAAAGGCAAAAAGTTACTGGTAAGCCATGTTTTCAGTTCTTGGAGACAGGCTGTTAGTTGGTTTAAAGCAGACTTGTCATTGTGCTTAAATGGTATGTAAAGCTGGGTATCATTGGCATAGCAATGATACGACACACCAATACTCCTAAAGATTGAACCAATGGGTAACATGTACAGCAAGAACAATAACGGCGCCAAAGTTGATCCTTGAGGAACACCACATGAAGAATGCGCTACAGAAGAGGATTATTTCCCAATGCTGACTGAAAATCTTCTGTTTGACAAAAAGGACCGAAACCAGTCAAGTACAGTACCTCTAACACCAATGCAGTGCTCCAAGCAAGATAGCAGAATGCCATGGTCAACAAAATCCAAACGCTGAACTGAGATCTAAAAGCACTAAGGCCATAATAGACCCTTTCGCACCGCTTTAGTTCCAGAACTAAATGTACGGTACTAAAGTACTGGGACGATTTTGCACGAACTATTTCCCAGTACCATTTAAAGGGTTGCATTCGCACCGACAGTGTGTACTAGGAAGTGACGTAAGCCGGTCGACAGCGACGTCATTTGTGCGCGGCGTTCAACAACGGAAACAAAGAACTATGTTAACAACAGGAGGATGGAGGACGCTGTGTTCGGAGCTGTGTTTTTATTGTGTCTCGCGTGTTTCACAATAATGGACATGGAAAGTCGACGTATACGTAAAGCGATTGAAAGAACGGAAAGGAGGACTAAGAATCTCCAACGACAACTGGCAGTGCTACATTTGCTACAAGTGCCTGCACTTCAGCGTCTGTCCATCTATCGCTGTTCTCCATACTTGCGAAATAAGTTGACATGCTTGTATGTTTACACGGCGTTTTAAATCATGGCGGGTGAGGGCGTTTTTGTACGCGTTTGGCCAATCAATGTCTACTTACGTCACGATTAGTACCTGCTCCGGAGTAGGAGCTAATTTGGTTCTCGAAAAAGGCAGTCCGGTACTAAAATCGCACCCAGTTCCGATGGTGCGAACACGCCGAAAAGTGGGTAGTTCCACAATTAGTTCTGGTACTATGAAAAGGTTCCTGCGGTGCGAAAGGCCCTTATATTACCAGAGTTACTCTGTGCTATGTAAGCTTTTAAAACCAGACTGAAAAATTTCGGAGATACAGTTAGTACTCAAATAGCTTTTGCAATTGCATAAGTACTATTTTTCTAGAATTTTGGGTAAAAACGGCCAGTTAGAAATCGGTCTAAAATTTGAGTAAACTGCAGGATCAAGAGAGGGTTTCTTACAAATTGGTGTCACAGAAGCTAATTTAAAACATTCTGGTACAGTCCCTGTCATAAGACAGTTGTTAATAATAATCACTAGTTCTGAACTAATAGTATCAAAGATTTGTTTAACTAATCGTGATGGAATAACGTCAAAGGGGGAAAAGGTAGATTTTAATTTTAAGGTGATTTCTCTCCATGTCTGTATAGTAACCAATTCAAATTCACACAGGCAGAGTTGTTCTCAACTAAGAGAAATTTTGCTCAATGGATTTGTCTCTTTAGACTCTGCTGTGTCTCATTAATGACAATGTAATCATAGTTAATGAATCAAATCTCTAATTGTCTTTAGTGGGATGAGAAGCACACTCACAGGAATTTGATTACAGCCTCTGTGTTCATATGCTGTCTCTGAATTTATTTCAGGCCATTCTCATTGATTTTTGTTTTACTTCCACATAAATGTCTGGAAAAGTGAGTAAAGGATAGAGGAGCCACAGTATTTGCTACTAGCTATTTTGCAGATTTATTTCATAATTTTTTTTACAGTGAATGGTTATGATTCTTCCACATGACAAATAGTTGAAGATGTCAACAAACACAACAACAAAAACAGCATAAATGTAGACAGCAAAACAATAAATAGTAACATAGCTTTATTTATTCATGCCCCAGTGCATTGCTGAGAACTCGATTACCACATTTATCACAGTATTATAATCCACAGATTCCTCATCTTGCTTAGATATGCTCTTTTTTGGTGCTTCTAGTTTATGTGCAGGGCCTATTCAAATGTATTTGCTGTACCTGATTTCCTTTCCTCCAAACTGCATGCTTTTGTTGGTGTGCACAGACAGTAGCCAATACATGCATTTACATGATCTCAAATTAATTGAGAAACTCGGAGTTACCATTTTTATATTGTAATGTTACAAGAATGTAATGTGATTTTTGCACATACATGGTTACATTCACTATATTTCTTTCTCATAGCCTTTAATGTGAACATTGTTTCATTGGACAACATCAGGCAAGATGTGAAATTTATTTATTTATTTTTAAATAAATACAGGGTTTTTTTTTCACCCGAACAGAAAAACTGAGAAAATAAATACTGTATATCGCAATTTGGCCCAAAAAATACAGAGATGTATTCACACCTCATTAAATGTGGTAAGGAAGTTGGAATGGAAGCACTGGATATTTGGCCCAGGTTAAATTGTTAACCATTATACTGTTTCTCATGTCTGGTTAGCAGATGCTTATGTCATTACTGTGGTAATCTGGTAAAGTCTGTATTCAGCATTCCTCCAATCCTCAGATCACTCCAGGGAACACAAACCTGTGAAGCAAGGGCTGCAGAAAACATCTAACCCACCAGACCACTGAGACAATATCATGCATTTTGGCTACCGAACACACATTAATTTAGTATGTCAAGACAATTTTCAGGCTTGAGAGGAAGTGTAGGTGATTCACCATTGTTTCATGCACCCTCTGAAATATTCAGCATTCCTCCAATCCTCAGATCACTCCAGGGAACACAAACCTGTGCAGAAAACATCTAACCCACCAGACCACTGAGACAATATCATGCATTTTGGCTACCGAACACACATTAATTTAGTATGTCAAGACAATTTTCAGGCTTGAGAGGAAGTGTAGGTGATTCACCATTGTTTCATGCACCCTCTGAATGAGATGAAACCGTTTCAGTGCCATCTCCTTTATTCCTGATGTCAGATGGCATTCATCCAGTTTTAAAAGATGAATCACTACGATTATTTTCAGACCACAAGGATGGCAATATCTGGCAACCCTGCACTGGACTTGGTTTAGATTCTGTTCATTTTAAAACAAAATGTTTGGCTAAAGAGAACTATTGTGCTGTCATTTTTCATTCAGTTGCATGAAATAGTTACTACTATAAGCTTTAGCAGTAATAAATCAATTATAATTAAGAGAAAGTCAGTCAGACAAATTCCCCACAGCACTGTAATAAATGTAATACTCAGAGGAGTGGAGATGCAGCAGTGGAATTTTGCTTCGACTGCTTTTGCCAAAAATGCAACTTTAAAGCTAAAGCAAGAGAGATAAAGGGACAGAGGTAGGCATGAGGTATAACAGCTGTGTAAGAGAATAGAGGGGGTTTAAAGATTTTATGTGTGTGCTGAATCAGCATTCTCCATGATCCCCTAACAATTACAGACAATATGTTTGTGATTAAATGGGCACTAGGAGAAATCTTCTCTTTGCATGCCTCATAAATGCGTTGTGTACGGCCCAGTGTTGTATATGCTGCTGAATCAAAGAAAAACTCTGTCAGTGTCACTCACTAGTCTAAAAGGATCGTCTTTACAGAACGATGACCAGATTGCATTTCACATTCTTTTTTTTTACCCTTGCAAAGACCATGAGATCTCACCAAGAAGCAATTATCCAGACAATAAAAAGGATTATGGTTGTATAGGTATGAATGTGTTATCGTGAAATATGTTAAAGAGATTATTACAGGTGCTGTTAGTGAAGGAATGGGAGGAGATTTGATCCCCTCCATGCTCTTCTGATGTTTAGAATTATCTCTGTACCTCTGCTCCTTCTCAGTTTCTGTTCTCATTACTTATTTCTTATTGCAGGCCAATGATGCCTCAGGGAACACCTGGAACTGGCTCTACTTCATCCCACTCATCATCATCGGCTCTTTTTTCATGCTCAACTTGGTTTTGGGGGTGCTGTCAGGGTGAGTCTGAAATCAGAGTCATCAAATTAATCCCAACTGTGTGGGAATTTTCTGGTACTCTATGTTGTACACATGCAAGTAAACTGATTCAGGATTCCTAAAAAGTGTTTTAAAATGTATCCATTATTTCTTGGAAGTAAATTCCTGGCCGGGGGTTGCTAAAGATGACATTATAGTCATTAATGGTAAAATGAAGGAAATAGCATTATTTATTTGAGGATGCCTTATATTCAGAAATTTAATTTGAATTCATTTGAATTAAAGTAACAAAGAGGATGTGGTGAGGATGTGTTCAAATTTGAATTTAGTTCAACTTCTATTATTTCTCCTTTTTTAAATAATATATATTTCAATTTAATTCAGAATGAATTACCCATAAATATATGATCATACAACATATGAGCTATTTCCAAAACATTAGGTGGTACAATATAACTTTTTGAAAATAATCAGAATTAATTAAAATTAATAATAATAAAAAAGAGTAATTATTCATTATTCTGTCACAAGACCTTTGCTGAACTAGTAAAATTATTTTGTTGCATTGAATTTCTTGCAATAAGTTATGTATTCTTCCTATCATTTGCACTTGGTCAGTTCAATTCAAATTTCAATTCATGAGTTGATAGGAACCCTGGGTTGTAGTGTTGTTATATGATCATCTTTTTTACTCTTGCCTCAATAGAAAGGGATTCAAACTTCATGTAACCCACTTAACTAATCGTTCACCTTTAGATTTTATGCTCTTGCTTGGCCACAAACATAAATATAAACAATTTGGAGCCAATACAAAGCATACAGTAACTGTTTAAAGCTTATATGGGAAGCAAACAAACAGTGCTCCTTTAAAATTATTCAAGGGATGCATCTTACAACTATTAGGTGGGCTCGTTTGAAATAAATTGGCTTTCCTAAACCATTGAAAGCCCCATAAAATAATTTCTGTCCTACAGGTTGGAATCTATTCACCTACAGCTTATGCATATCCAGAGAAGAAGCAACGTTAAGTGCAGTGGAGCTCTGCTTCTCAATTCGATTAGGCAGCTCTATTTTGCCAATGCAGTGTTGGTCACAATAAAGTTTTTCCTCCATCAATTGTGATTGAGCTAAGAGCCACATATATTCTCTATAAAACAAATAACACACCCTCACACTAAAACATCTTTATTTTTCCCTCATGCTTTACCTCTCTTGCTCTCTCTCTCTCTCTCTCTCTCTCTCTCTCTCTCTCTCTCTCTCTCTATTTCCCTTACTCTCTCTCTCACACACACACACTGTTTTAATTGACAGTCTCTGTATGAATTCTTTGTGGTGCTCTC